ATCTGCTCCCCAAAGGCTGAGTGCCACTAGCAGCTGGCCTTGCTTCCACTCTTCCACCCCTAGCTTCCTCCAAGTAATTCCACTGTCTCCTCAAGGACTTCCTTCTGGATTTCTGTGGGCTGGCTCCAGGCCAGCTTTGACAGTAGGACATGGGAGGATGCTCCCTTTTATCCTGCCCCTCCAAGGCACTGCTGCACTGCAGGGTGATGACACTGTGACATGAGGGTGGCCCCTGTGCACAGCCTTGCCTGTCACAGACTAGTCATCACCCCTCCACTGAGCATTCTTTGGACGAATGCCACCCATAAGAGCTGTCTCTGTGATGGAACTAATGTCTGTGTTGCTACCTTGGGTTGTCCAGTTCTCAGAGGACATTGAGTGCAGGAACACAAACTTTCCATTTATGGACATTGAAATTGAAAGGGACCAATTGTTATCAGCTGAATATTAATAAGTCCATTGGGCCTAATGGGATTCACCCCAGAGTACTGAGGGTAACTGTAGCAGACATTACAACACGACCACTCTCTACAGTCATCTGCAATCATCTACAAAAGGTCTTAGGAGGCCCCACCAACTGAAAATTAGCCCAGGTTACACCAGTTTCCAAGAAAGGCAAGAGAGAAGACCCAGGAAACTACAGACATGTTAGTCTAACCTCAGTGCCTGGAAAAAATTATGGAGAAAACCACACTGGGTTTTAATAAAAGACATTTGAAAAACAATGCAATCATCAGACACAGACAACATGGGTTCACAAAGGGAAAGTCCTGTTTAATTTAATAACCTTCTACAATAAGGTCATCTGCCTGGATGAAGTAAAGACACTGGATTTAAACCCCCAGTTGTAATGGGGTTTAGAAAGGCTTTTGATACTGTCCATCAAAGCCTCCTTCCAGACAAGTTTTCCAACAGTAGGGTGAATAGGTATGCAGTGCACTGGGTGATGAGTTGGTTGAAGAGCAGGACTCAAATTATTGCAGCAAACAGGACATCTGGCTGGTGACCAGTTACCAGTGGTGTTCCTCAGGGCTCAGGTCTAGAGGCAGTTCTGTTCAGACTCTTTATCAGTGATCTGGAGGCTGCAGTTGAATGCTCAGATAGTTAGGTGAAGTGTTCCTGATTCTCTCATGGGACAAGAGGCTTTGCCTTGCAGAGGGATTGATTGGAGTATTGAGCAGTCACCAGTGATATGGAGCTGAGCAAGACCAACCAAATGCTGGATTCTGCACCTGGATGGGGTAATTCCAGACACAGGTCTGAACTGGGAGAGGAGTGGCTGGAGAGCAGCCCTGCAGAAAGGGCTTTGGGAGTGCAGGTTGGCAGGAAGCTCAATGAGAACAGCAGGAGTGTGTGCCCTGGCAGCCAAGGGGACAAACCTGATCCTGGGGTGCATCAAACACAGCATCACCAGCCAGCCAAGAGAGGTGATTATCCCGCTGAATTCAGCACTGGTGCACCCTCACCTTGAGTACTTGGTGCAATTCTGGGCCCCACTATTTAAAAAGGATGTGAAGGTCCTTGAACATGTCCTGAGAAGGGCACCAAAGCAGGGGAAGAGGCTGGCAGGAATGTGCTCTGGGGAGCACTGAGGGCACTGGGCTTGCCTTGGAGAGGAGGAGGCTGAGGGGTGACCTCAATGTTCCCTACAGCTTCCTAAGGAGGGAAGCAGAAAGGGAGGTGCTGAGCTCTTCTTCCTCTCCCAGTGCCAGGACACGTGGAGAATGGCTCCAAGTTATGCCCATTGGGGGAAGTTCAGACTTGACATTTCATGATTCCAAGGGTGGCCAAAACATGGAATAGGCTTCCTGGAGAGGTATCTCATGCCCTCAGCCATGCCTGTCAGTGTTGAAGAGGCATTTGGACAGTGCCCTTACAGCCATGCTTTAATTTTGGTCAGCCCAGAAATGGTCAGGCAGTTGGACTAGAGGGTCATTGTAGGTCTCTTCCAGCTGTTCTATGCTATTTGGTTAGAGTGGTTGGATTTGTCTGTTGCAATGCAAGATGTAACCAGAAGTATGTATTCTATTACCATTTGTTAAAATCAGGTGGGGCAGTGTTCTTTATCTCTTCCATGAGCCATTCTCCCTCCAGGGGGATATCTTCTTTTAATGGGCCATTGAACTTCACTGCATGACTGAGAAAATTACATCATCCCATTGTGAGATGCTCCACCCAGGGGGAGGAGCAATCCTACCAATCTCAGATTGGTGTTCCAATCTGAGATTTGGAACACCACAGTCAGCCTTTTCCACTGGATTCCCAGAGGAAGACCAGATCCATCTACACCACCACTGGACCTTCAGAGGAAAACTACACCCTTCAACAGGATCACTGCTTCAACAGAACCATATCTATCACTCCAGGAGGACTGCAGCCACCACATTTAATCAGACTACTACCACCACCCTGACCAACAGGGTGTCAGGTTGTATACTGACTCTATTAGTGTTTTTGTAGTTCTGCATTTTCTTTTAATTTTCCTATTAAACTGTAGTTCTGAGTTGGGATCCCCTGCTGGTTTGCTTTCAAACCAGCACAGGGCTATAGAAGAAAGGACAGGGAGATAAATAACAGTGTCATACACTGGGTTATCAGCTTAAATAGAATTTTCCAGAGAAACCTGGGGATACAAATTCAGCCTTTTCATTCAAGTAACCTTGTCCTTAGAACTGACTCAGTCATCCTTGGTTACCAAAACGTCTATTCTGGTTTCATTTTAAACACATTGGCATTTCATCAATTTTTATGGCTGGGATGTAGTCTCCTAAATCAATCTGGTCCTTTTAAAACTTTAATCCAGTTTGTTCAGCTGACTTTTGGCAGATTTTAACAGATGCTGCAAGCTCAGCATGTCCACACTTCCTGAATTTTGGGGCCAAAATCATTGAAGAAATGTGATGATCAGAGGATTTAATAGATGGCACACTCATTGATTCAAAATCAGGGTGCCAGGGGACCTGTATATGCGACCACATAAAGCACCACCACCTGGATGATGTGAAAAATAGAGTGGCCAATTATTATTTCCACATAACTCTCAGATTAACACTTCTAATGCAAGACTGAGATCTGACCAATATGAGACCAATATGCAGTTATTTAGTTTTTGTCATATAAATAGTGACTAGACACACACACTACTTACACTGTGCAACTAAAATTTCTCCTAGACGGGAAGGAACTGAAGATAATGGTGGTATTATTAGAAAAATAGTTTACATAAATGAATCAGAGAATCGCAAAATCAACTGAATTCTAAGAGACCACAAGGATCAAGTCCAACTCTCAGGACCATCCCCATGTCACCCAAGAGTCATACCATGTGCCCAAGAACATTGTCCAAACACTTCTTGAACTGTTAGGCTTGGTGCTGTAACTACTTCCCTGGGGAGCCTGACCCCCACATTGGAACACACACAGCTTGAAGTAGTACATGTGATTACAACTTGCACCAGTGCTTTTCCAGATGGTCAATCATAACCATACTGACAAAGCCACAAGGAAACAAACAGTATTTTCAGGCTTCAACGCCAACTATGAACTCAAGTCAATTCAACTCACACCATAAAGTCATCAGATCTCTTTGAACTATTAAAGAGGATTTACATGTTTTACCTGAAAACAGTTGCAGTCCAAACCTGCAAGAATGGAAACGCATCATGACTTTGGTGTTGAAAAGTCTAGTACTTTATAGCCTGGTGAGCTAGACAGGAGTATTTGAAAGGGGAAATTAATCACTAGTCTGTGACAGCCTCAGCTATTAGATTCTTAAATAATAATGCAATTATGTGTAAGACATATTAATTGTTGTATTTTTTTTCTGCTGCTGGAGCTCCACAAAATTCAATGTGTGGCCAAAAAGAAAGGGCAGATTTATAGGCAGTGAAGTATAAGAAATATGCTCATAAAATAATCTTTCTTAATTTGCAAGAGCCCTAGTCCCTAAACTGCATAACAATACAGGATATATGCTAGAGGGGTATAAAGATTTTATTAACCCCCAAAAGAGATGACTTGTAACATGTACTGACAACTATGTCTGCAAAATACATGCTGGCAACGGCCTTATTGTAAACTGTACTAACAGCAGACACAGCTGCTACATATAGCCATACACAAATGCTTTTCTGTTGAGCCCAATATCTGTATCTATGATCCTGTTTTGAGACACCCAACAGCTACACAGGAGCTGTTTGTGCGGACCATTTATACCTCTCAGCTTTCATTAATGAAGATGAGCAAAACAAACAGTGGCCCATAAGGCCCTCGTCTTTGGTCAGGAACTCTCGCAAATAAATTCTCCCCGACTTCGCCCGTTGTTCATTTCTAGGTTACAATAACGCTAGAATCGGTACCGACTTCCCCAAGCAGCACAAGCTGTCAGCTGCAGAACATTTCGACCACCCTCATGACATCCCGAAAAGCTCCCCAAAACCGCAGCAGCCGTGAAGAAGGCGCGGGCTGCGCCAGCACCCCGGCCCCCGCGGGCTCCTGTCATCACACGCAGCGGCGTCTGTCACGCTGCGGCTGCAGCAAGGCGGATCGCCGCAGCCAGGGATGAGCCGGCGCAGATATTAAAGGAAAGGCAATCCTCTTAGGAGGGCTGGCGGCGGGCGGTGAGGCGAGGCGAGGAGAACCGAGCCCTCGTTCCCCGCGCGGGCCGGGGCAGCAAGGCGGCCACGCCGGGTGCGGAGCGGTGCCACCCCCGCGCGCAGCCCCGCGCCGCCTCAAGGGCGAGGGAGCAGCGGCCGCCCGGGGCCTGCAGCAGGTGCCGCCGGGCAGCGGCCGGGGCCGCGCGGTGAAATGGGGCAGTTACGTAACAACGGCGGCAGCCCCGGCCCCCGCCCGGCGCCCCCGCGGGCGAGGAGAGGGCAAGCTGCAGCGGCGGGCGCTGGGGGCGAGCGGAGCCGCAATCCTCTCGCGGACCACGGGCACCGCCGCCGCACTCTTCACCCCCCTCCGCCCCTTCCCAGCAGTTCCCCCGCCCCGGAGCGCACCTTCTCCTGGGCGCGGTTGAGGCGCTTCTGGACGTTTTTGGCGAAGATGCCGGTCTTCATGTCAGCCATGGCTGGTGGCGGGGACTGGGAGGGTGGGGAGAGAAAGCGGGCGAGGCAGAGCCCGGCAGCTACAAGCGGCAGCGGCGAGGCAGGAATGGAGGGATGGAGAGGAGGAGGAGGAAGAGGAGGAGGAGGGCTTTAAAGACACAGCAGGGAGAGGCGTGGCCACCGCCGCCGCCTCAGGTGAGCTGCGGGCCCCCCGCCTTCATCCGTCCACGGCCTTCGGGGAGGCAGCTGTCGGGATCCCCCAAGGCTGGTAGTGTTGTCATCTGGTGATGAGGCAATTCCTCAAGGTAATAAACATATCTAGAGGGAGAGTGGGGATGATGATTTCTAGAAGCACAGCTGATGACTGCGTCCACTACTAGCACAAGCCTCCTTGTACAGCCGAAGAACCTTAGGCATCTACTTACTGCCCTAGAAGCTTCCACCAAGTCAGAGTCACTCCCAGGTCCAAGCTCCTTTAACACTCTTCACTGGTTTGGGGGCTGCAGCATCACGTGCAGTAAATGGGTGCTGTGGTTGAGGGACCTGCACCCCCCAGCTCAGCCTGGACTGGGCTTCTGGCACAGCCATCAGCTGTTTTGGGGTTATCATACTGCTGAATGGCAAGTCAAGTGTAGCACATTCTCCTGCTCTTGACATCCTCCTCCCATCCATTCCTCACTCCAGTCTCAGTGTAAACTGGTTTACTAACAGCAGTAAACTGGTTCCAGACTGGTATTGTGTTTTTGATCTTATGTCTGAAATTACAACTTTAAGTCAAAACTGAAGGGCAGTCATAACAAAAACCTCTGTCCTCCCCTGACACTCAAAACCCCCCAAATCTTCTAGGGATCATGTAGCACCAGTCACTCAAGGTTGGCAAAGTCATCCTTTCTAAATACCAAGCCCCAGATTCACTCCTGGAATTTATTTCTTTTGTTTGGCCAAGCGTGGAGTTCCCTGACACGGAGAGTAGAAATCCAGCAGCAAACACAGCGAAGCAAAACACTGGAACTAAGCTCTCTTACCCTGAGCATGTATCCTTCTATAGGGAACTATCCTATTTTCATAATACTTTTCATTGATTTTTCAAAACACAGATCAGAAGGTCTTCTACCTGCCAAAACAAAATATCTCATACATTTAGTAAGTCCAGCTGTGTTTCATGTGTCCTGTATTTCTGACATCTGCTCAGTCCCACATGTGTCCGACATATTTTCCTATACTATTAAGTTGATTTAACATGCCAACTGCAGCAGCAGTAATGTTTAGTAAGACTAGGAACTTACTTAATTCTCATGCAAATATTATTTAGAAAGAAAAAAGTAATTGAACAAAAAACCCAAAACCCAAAACTAATGCAGAAAACCAAATAAAACGTATCACAGCAACCAAAGAAATTATTTTGTCTAAAAGATTATGATGGTGTCTTACAATGCTGTTAAACTGGTGAAAGATCAAAACAAAATCTCAGTGTGCATAGGGCTCCCAAATTCTTTGAAGTATTCTTTCGTTTCTTCAGAACACTTTCTGGCTAGTTTGGCTTATGATTCCACCACTTTAAGAATGATTTTTAAAAAATCATGAAAAGAGGCGTTCTTAACTGATTACTCATGCATTTTCTTCACCAAAGGGTAACAAAGATGGGAAGTATTGGCAGAACAGAGTGCATTTGGTTGCCTTTGGGCTAGGAGAGGCAGAGAGGAAACTCTCTTGTGTCTTTTAGATCCCTGTTGTCTGATATAGCAGCAGAACCCTTATCACCAAGACCAAAAATGCTTTGTCATGCCAATGGGTGAGGAAAATGAAGATGTGTACTTAGTCAGTACTCCAGTCAGTACTGATGGAGTCTCCTCCTCCTCAGTCAGTTGACCTGCACTGGCTTTGCCCCATTTAATGGCCTTTGACAAAAGCCAATGATTTTTCACTGGCTGGTTTATCAATGTGTGTATTGCTTTCCATCAGCTAGATTTTGGAAAGTAATTATCAGCAAATGATCAGGCTGTTCTCTCCATACTCTCTGTCTGTTGCATATAACATGTATTGTAATTAATACTTCAGAGAAAATTTCTCCGTTAATATGTGCTTCAAAGCAAATTTTTCTCTGTGTATTGCTCATGCTTTAATCTGAAGTAGATGATACTTAAAAATCAATAATCCTTTACTACAATTTACCCCATTTTCTCCCTGTTTTCTTGTTATGGTTTATTTGGTATTATTTTTAAATGAGATTTCACTTTAGTTTCTCACCTGAATAGCAGTCATTCATAGAAAAATGCTTCTAAGAGACTGCTGATTTTTCAACATAAGATCATTAAAAGGTAAGGGAGAAAGTAAATATAAGTACAACTGCTATGTCACCACTTTTTCCAGCTGTTGATTCCTGTTCAACCAAAATGCTAGTCAGAAAAAAAAGAAATCTGAATAATTTCTGGGTCACCAACAACATGGTTTCTCATCACACATTTTGTCACTACAGACCTTATATTAGAGGTAGAAATGAGATGGGATGCTTGTTTCTTCAAGCAGCAACCTTCTCCCTCCTACAACCACCTGACCCTTTCTCACAGCACAACCAGCAGACTCTAACCAGCAGACCCTGCATGTCCTCACAACAAACGCTCTTCTCCACCAGCTAACCCACTCTTTTATAACACCCATCCCTACTGGACATAGCTGTGGCCATTAAGGGCAAGGCTGTTACTCCTCTTTGGTAATTAGTACAGCTGTAACTCATCAGGGGCAAAGTTGCTTGCAATCCATTCTCCTGCAACATTTCTGCTATTTTGATCACCCTTCATTTGTGTAAAACAGTAAAATTAAAAGATACTGGTCTATAGGAATCAATTTTACAATATCGATGATAGAAAAAATTGGCAGGTATCTTGCAGCTGTCTCCATTGCAATAATAATTAAAATACAGATATCAACTTCTGCAGAGTAACAAGAGACTTGCACCTTTACAAATAACATCATAGGAACACTCACAACTCACACTATATACATGGCACATAAAAGACATCCCCATTATAAGCACACCACTTTAATATTCAGTGAAGTAGAAAATCGGAGTGGGAAATGAAACTGCAGGGCAGCCTGGGAGTTGACATAAGACTGTAGTGTGGATTTGGGGATGCAGAATGTATGGACAAAAATATAAGGCGAGATGGGACTAATAGAATAGCAAACATGGGAAAACAATATGAGAAAATGAAAGGTTTCAGGTGTACAGGACTTGAATTTTAAATCATCTTTTACATGGAGATGTATTATACTTGGTATTATACTTGCAGTTAGGTCAGCATGTAATGGGCAGCAAAAGACTGTCTAAATTATCTGGGCATTTTCTGTAAGTCTTGCTGACTTTTGGATGTGAGTCAGAGAGGGCAGAGCTTTCTGTCTCCCTGAAAAGGAAAGTAAGGAACACAGTGGAAAATATGCATCAAAAGAAAAATGTTTTCATAAAATAAATGTGGTTCTAAATTCTGTAAAAATCTAGGAAAATGTTAATAAACATCCTAAATTAAAACCCATACGTGTTCTATATTTTAATATTTAGACCCTTATTTTTAATTAAAGTTCTTCTTATTGAAGACAAGTACAGATTTTTATTTTTATATTTTTACGTTTTCCTTCATTACCATACCTTCAGATGAACACCTCTCATCTGTTAAAGTGCTAATATATGTTGAACTGGTACTTACATTCTGTCACAGAACACCAGTTCCATCACAGGGAAGCATTTTATCTGAAAGGTGCCCTTTGCTTTCAGCTTCATTATTTGAATCTAAAATTTTCATTATTTAAATCTGTATCTGGCTTCAGAGAGCTATATACAGGTGGGTGGTGTTCAGCAATGGCCTCACTTTGTTACTCTGGAAAGTCTGTCCTGCTGACTTCAATCAGAAAATTTCTGGGTTGACACCCCAGGCTCTGAAACTACATAAAATGAGCTTTACATGGGAAAGTATGACTAATGAAGGGTTGCAGAGCTTGCTCACAGAACAAGCACCAGTGATGTTTCCATAAGAAATTAATTCCTGAATAGCACCCACAGGACATGGATGTACATGCAGAACTTCTTGGGGAGGAGGTTATGTTCCTTCCCTCCTCCAAGTCCTCTTCTCTGAAATCACAGGAATTAGATAAATTAACTTCAAATAGGGGAAAAAAACTTATGGAGAGAGAATTCCTGAAATTACTGCTGCCTTCGGGTGAATCTTTTCAGGTTTGAGGCAGTGCAAGTAGGTAAGAAGACATGACAAGAAATCCAAAATCCTTTAGGATTGGCAGGTGGGGTTAGGAGTGAATAACTAATATCTAAATATCACTTAGTTAATACCAGCCTATTTTACTTTTTACAAAGTTGGTGTGACATGTTAATAAAACACAAACTTAAGGAAAGACTAGAGATCCAAGAATGAGTTTCAGCATGGACAGAGCCGCAGGGATCCACAAGTTCCCTCCCTCCCTCCCTCCCTCCCTCAGTGAGGATAACTGGCAGTTTGGACCTGTTACAAAGGGGCTTGTGCAAAGAAATTGGCTTTCTATTCATCATTTTAATGGCAACAATGCCTTGATACAGTATACAGTACTGATTCCAGCATTAGGAATGAATGCTGATCAAGATACTTGTGCTCTGGTTGGCCTCCTCCTGATGCTCTTTGTGATTAAAAGTACAGTGAGCTGCACAGGAGATGAATTTTGGAGACATACTGATAACATGAGCTGTCACACCTAAACAGGAAAGACACCCACCAAACAATAAGTACCAATCACTTTTAGCCAAGATTCAGGCTCCCATAGTCTATCTGAAGTCAGCATCAAAAGATCATTGAAAATTGCTTTTGAAAAATCGTAACTTAAATGTACTTGGCACATTTCATCTACTCAGTCAGAAAGACACAGGCCAGAACCAGAAATATCTTCCTTTTTAACTGTCAGGTAAAAGGGACAGACTTTCTGTACAACATCCTTTGGATCTTTCCTGAAAGAAAAGTCAGTCTCAGTTAAAAAGTTTATTTGTCCACATGCAATTTTCCATACCCCTCTTTTTCTCTTTCCCATCAAGTATATTTACGAAATTCCTAGCATTTACAGTATTATCTAGAAATGCACACCTTTTGGTTTGCATAACAATAAAAATTAATATTGTAACAGTTAGTCTCTCTCTTTTTTTCATTTGTCTTTAAAGCCATTCCAGCACATCTTGCCTTTTTTGGGGGGAATGCCTCACCAAGAGAGTTTCTCTCTCAGGTTAGGGACTTGTGAAGGGGTCTTGGTATGCATGGCACCAATAGGATTCTCTAAGCTACTCTTTGCTCATGAATTGGCTGCTAATGGCATTATGCACACATCACATAGCATAATCTAGCCTCTATGCTTTTATTCCTAGTGCTAATATACATTTCACAGTGCCATTGC